TTTGCAAAATGAATGATGTTTAATGTGAAAATAGCATTTAAATAATGAGCAAAATTCAAAGACAGCCGTTTTTTAGTTTTTTAGTTTAAACTTCAACTAATAGTTAAATATCTAATTATTTTGCACAAAAGAATTTCAACTCTTCTTCAATAAAATTACAAAAATATCATAGATGCTGTGAATGATTATTCAATGAAATCTAATTGTGGCTTCGTTATTTTAGCAAAAGTGATACTAAAATATTTTAAATCAACAAATGGAATATGATGGAACTCAATCGTATCGCCTAAAGTCTTAAATGAACTAAATTGATTGATGCTAACGAAAAAATACCATAAAATCTCCATTTTTGTGGAGAATCTTTGCTCATATAACGCCATTAAAAAGAATTATTTAATCCAATAAAAGCAGACCGTGATAAAAACTCAAATTTACAAATTTATAAAATATTAATGTTCTAAATAAAAAATAAATTTATTATCAGTTTTTATAAAATTAACATGTATAAAAATAACAATAGCTAACTTTTGACTGACATATAAATGGGAATATAAATTTACTTAAAATATTCACATAAAAATGAGGTATATAATTTTCGCTTAATAAAAATTTTTGTTTGATATTAAAGGAGAAAAAAATCCCCACTTTAATAAGGTTGAAGAAAAAAACCCCGAATATGCTGGATTTCGAAATATAATCAGCAACGAACTGGCGGTTATTATTATTTTTGTATTTATTCACGATGCTTTTTTATAACCGATCAGCTCTCTTCGTTTATCATGAACAAGGAAATATGGATTTAATTAGCTTTAAAAATGAACCATTGGAGCCCATTTACCCTAATAACCTTCCTTCGATTGGCAATTGTGGAAGACTAGAGCAACAAGTATAATAAATGATCTGGTTTTGCTGTGTAAGTTACGCAGTCGTTGAAAATCAAGCGATTCACTCACTAGGCTAATTTTTCTTGTTCTTTCTATATAAATAAAGTGTTTAATAAAGAGATTATCGACGAAAGATGAATATTTGTTCATTATTTTTGGATTTGCAAAAAAAACTCACTATAAATAATTATAAATATGGATTTCGAATTCCTTTCAAAGCTTTCGAAACTCTTTCAAAACATATCACAGGAAACGATGATGTATGAATTTTTTTACAGCTCATTTCTTCAAAGTATGTATTTTTGATTATTTTTATTTATGTTGCGCAGCACGCATTATCATTTTAATTCCTGAAACTTCTGAAGTGCTATCTAAGAATTGGCGCTGTTAATTTTAAAAAAGAAGATCAAATTTGGCTAAATTTAAACTTAAACTCGAAGAAGTTGAAGTTAATCATTTAATCAGTCAAAGTTCCACTTTAACGTCTTTTAACGTCTTTCCGCAAGGATCTGCGCAAATCATCATTATTACGAGCATTTAAGGCGTGAAGTTTAGACTCAGTGTTGAAGATGGTGGTAGTCGCTACAATATTCTGTTTGCATTTAAATCAGGGTGAAATATTTTGTCACAAGTGTGCTGGTTATATTACCGACAATGAAGCGCATTGTAGGAAAGATACAATTTGTTTGGGAAAAATTTGTTTTTGGGCAGGTTCGATTAATTAAAATTAAAATTTACTTTTCATTATTATAATATTTTCATTATTATAATATTTATTATTTACAAAATATCATTGATTTCACCATCCTTAATTTATTTTTTTCAATTTTATAAATTTAATGACCATAATTCTTCAATTAAAAGTGAGATTGGTGAGACTATGGTACTTTATTCCTAAGAATCTTTCCAGGCCCGCTGAATTGTGAGATCAATTTTTTCACCTTATTTCATCTCAACGCGACTTTTTTTGATGTAGATATAAAGGCTAAAGAATAAACATTTTTAAAATTTTAAAAATAATAGTGACGAAACGATACAACTGATAATATGATAAAATTGATAATGTACTTTGTTATGCAGCATTTTATATTTTCTTTTATTATATTTTCAAATATTTTCTTCTAGACAATGAGCTATGTTGCCTTAAATAGATCTTAAATATTTTTTTACAATTTGTTAAATATTTTTTACTCATCACTGAACCTGAAAATCTCTATCTTCAAATCTATCTCTATCTCTATCAACTTCAAAACATGTTCAAAGCCGCAATTGATCTGAAATCGCTTTGTTTCGATCAAACAGCAAGAACTTTATATGATTTAACATTGATTAGTGCGATGTAGTTCATTTCACTAAGCTTTTTGATGTATCATGGCCAGTATGCTTCATACTGATCCATTCATTCCCTTTCCCTTGATTTGTTCAATTTATTTAATGGATGATCCGGAAAAAGAATTTGTGTTTGGCAAAAACAAGCGAATGACGAATAAAGTGTGATCGGTCTCATGAAAACAGTTGCCTTAATTGTTAACTTAACTTATTGTTGGCTAATGAGCGATTATGCTGGGCCGCGTCAAAATAAGTCATAAACAAATGATCATATTATGGATCTCATGAATAAAAAATATTATGAATAAAAATATTATTAAGAAAGAAAAAATGTTAATTTTAGGTAACAATATCTCTTGGAATGCTGGTTGCATTAATGTTTCGATTATGAATATTACAAATAATAAGTGTAGATTTAGTGTAGTAAAACAACAGATGATATGCGAATGTGCTGAGAATTTTTGTAATAATATTATTTCTATTCGATCAAACTTGGTTACTTTAAAAATTAAGTAAGTTAATAATTTGATTCAAAAAAATTAAAAATTAAAATAAATTAAAATAAAGAAATTAAAAATTAAAAAATTGATAAAAAAATTAAAATTATAATTGAAAAATTAAATTAAAAAAGTAAAAATTAGAAAAAAATTAAAAATTAATTAAATAAAATTAAATTAAAAATTTCTTTCTTGATTTATATTTTCATATATCTCTTTAAAAAAATTTAAAAAATATCTACTTATATTCACAAGAAGTAGCCAAATGAATACTTAATGACTGCCATTTTGTGATCAACCTCGCTTCGCTAACTATTTAAATTATTTGAAATTTTTGTTCTAAAATATATTTTAAAATTTTCCATATGGCATTTGTTTTAAATGAATATTGTAATGGAATATAAACTGAAAACTGCATAAAATAATTTATTACCATTCAAATAATATCTATTCGAATCACATGGATTCCCATGGATTCACGGTTCCTACTAAGAATCTCAGAGAGATTTCAAATGGGGGTAAAGGCCACTTTGATTTTGATAAGCGATATTTTCGATATTAAACATTAACAATGCAGTTATGCCAAAAAATTTTTTATAATAAAAAAAATTTAATAAAAAATCTTTAAAAAAATTTATTTTTCTTCACATTAAAACTAGTGCAATTATATTCATAAAAACTGTTATATTTATTTTATGGCATTTGATTTAATTTCGTCTCCAAAATTCGGATCAGCTTGCTGCGGAAAAACATATCAGTCAACTAAATCGGAATATATCCCATGTAATATATCGAATGCATGTTATGGATATCATTGTGTTACAGGTAAATTATTAAGTTAAATATTAAAATTACTGAAAAATCTGCTTTTCGAGATCCATTATCTGTCACATAAAGGCCTTTTTAAGTTAGCTGACTTCTCAACTGAGATAGTTGAGATGATTTTTCTGATATACGAAAGATACGGTGGAAATCTTTTGAGAGTTCTCTTAAGATTTTTTGTAAGTCCAAATCCGAACGACAAAAACACCAAACAACCTTTTTTAAAATATTATCGACAACAAATTTGACAGTATTTTTGCAAAATGAGACATTAAATACTAAATTATAATTCTAAAGTTATCTTTTCTTTATTAGCGTGCAAAGTCAAGCATATGGTATGTGAAAATGGAAAATGTGTACCATCGACGATTCACCATGAAACGACCAAATCAGACGAATACTTCCAAAAAATCGCCAAACGAATGTCTCCTAGCCGTATTCATTTCGAATTCAATTCTTGCATTAACTTATTTTTATTAGTATATTAGATAATTACCTTCAGTTGTACCGTACTTAGCTCTGCCATTGGTCAATCTTCGCTACCCATTATCTGCTCTAAGTTCCATTCTATTTGTTAGCTTCATTTGAGTTTAATCACTGAGAATTCAAAAATTATTTTTTAAATAAATATAATGCGCTTTAAACGATAGAAGGCTGGATAGATAAACTAAAAAAATGAACTAAGGACTGCTAAGATAAAAAAATAGCTATTGCTACCTGAGGAACACAACAGGACACCTAAGCACGGAAAGATTCAATTGAATGCAGATTATTTAAATTGCACTTTGTTGTTGCTGTTGTTAATTTAAATCTCATGTTCTTTCCTTCGAAATATTCTCTTCCACATCTAAAATTAGATTTCATTATCAATTAATTTTTTCCATTAATTTTTTCAAATCAAAATAAATAAAAATTTTTTAAAGGAATTCAAATTATCTGAGATATATGAATTACTACTTTACTATTTTATAAGCAAAAATCTTTTAAAAAAATTAAATTGCATAAAATTACATAAATTAAATGAATAATTAACTAACACAAAAACAATAAAAAAGCAAAATTAAAATGATTTTAACGGCATAAAAATGAGCACGAAAAATATAATTCTTAGCACAATGACCATGCATGAGTCTGTTAAAATTATCTGATAAAATAGAAGAATCTGGTAGCACTTATCATAAGCAGTTTTATGGCCGTACATATCAATCAAATTATTTTATCGCAAATAATAATCGCGATTTTCGCTAGTTATATTGATCTCATCTAGTTTGACTGGTAGCCTTAATTACGGGGTTTCGCTAGTGATACTATCTAGGTGTATAGATACGTGAGCCTCTAACCAGGCCCAGCTAATCAGAAATAATTGTTTTTTTTTAAATATGCCTATTATAGAAATGTTAAATCCACCGATATTTCAGAATGTAGAAGCAGCTGTGAGTGCTTCGTGTTTCATTATTGCAACGCTGGTATGTGCGTTATAGATAATCGAGGTTAGCTAAGAATTTTCTGTGTTTTTTCAATCGGAACCTATTTAAATCGGCGATGAAAACGAATTGCTAAAACAAATTTTCATCTAAATCATGCAGTTTATTTTTTAATTTTTTTTTTCACCTACAATTTAGCTTGTCCAAATGCTTTCTGCCCACCCGGACTCGTATGCATCAATGGAAGATGTTTGCCAAGTCCATTGCTAACAACACCCCTCCCACCATCCATCATTACACCGCCAGCGACAACTCAACCAAATCAACCAAAGCAGCCAATGGCTCCAATGACAAACAGAACGATGACAATGGCTCCAATGATTCGAATGACAACAACAGGTTTACTCACTAAATTTTTAAAATTTATCAAAAATCCTCAAATTTTTTTTCTATATTTGGCTTATACTTTATTCGTTATTGCTATATTTCATCGAATTATTGTCACTATGCAAAAGCTGAAAACTTTTAGATTATAAATTATTTTAAATTATTTTAAAATGTGTCGAATTTGAAATTAACCTGTTGCGTCGATAGCTTAGCGTCAATAACATCGTCACTGAGAAACTAAGAATTACTCGAGTTCAAATCCGACCCACACAGCATAATTCGTTAGAAATGCCGCCAAAAAAGAGAAATTAAAAATGGTTCACTGAGTTTTTGCTCAGTTTCGGTTCGCCGATGCTGAGATTCTAAGCCCGACAGGAGTCTATCCTTTAAAAACCCGAGTGATGCTACCTTCAAAAGAATGGAACATCGTAAATCATTCTCAAATTTCTGCTTCGCAAAATTACAATATCGTTAGAAATATAACTGATTTACACAAAAAGTTAATTCGAGAAATAACTGACAGGAATTACAGGATTTCTGATTTGTCCAGATGGCCGATACGTTTATAATTTGCAAGCAGCACAAAAAGCCATTCACCTCAAAAATATTGTCGTCAATTCGCCGAACAATGCGACTATAGAAGGGCAAAAATTTTTAAAAGCTTTAGATGAACATATTTGTAAAAAAAAATGATTTAAATTTTCAAATACTAATTTGTTGAATGTATTTTTTATTAACAAATTAGATTTTCATTATTTATCATTTCATTTCCAAAATTATTCCTAAAAATTAGACATTAAAAAAATTTACTTCCAATTGTTGCTTTAAAAAAAAAAAAAAATTGTTAAGCTATGCACAAAATGCACATTTTGGTGCACTTGAGTATTTTTTTTTATTAAAAAATATAAAATCTGCATGGAACACAAATTACAATCTGCAATCTAATCGCATTTTATTCGTTATATTTACATTATATTTTAGTAAATAAAAGTTCCATTAGAGTTTGCGTGACGCAATGGTAATAGGACTGTTAGCATTTGACAGTATGAAAATGGCAAATAATCGAAGGCAAACTAAGCATTCAGATTTTTACAAAATAATTCTACTTGTGAAAGTTCTCGACAGAAAAATCTTTTCAATTACCAAATATGCTAAAATAGTATTTGAAATCAAAAAAGAACAAAAACACAAAGAACAAAGTGGTACTTTCATCATTACCATTATTTACCACCATTCAGCATGGAATTTTAAGTAAAAAAAAACTAGTACTTTCACATTATTTTTTTCACATATAAAAATACAATCCATTCAGCCTAAAATTAAACTATTCAGCATAATTTATTGCACAAACGCTGAAGTACATTAAAGAGTAGGTAGATTTCACGGCAATCTCCCAACTATGACTGGCTGCACTGAAATAAAAAAGTAGTTCTTTGGCTAAACAGTAATAGTGATAGAAGAATGAAATCATAACAGCCATCAAAATTCCACTTTTAATAACAGGTTCACGACATTCAAGAGATGTGAATCGTATCGACGATATTCGAATTCCTGGTCATCTCTTAGCACCACTCGCCACGACAATTGTATTCCTGGTCACCTCTCGGTACCACTCGGATGTATAAACTATTTGTACCTTCTAATCTTCTTTATCGTTTTAAATTAAATATTTTTTTTTCTGTGTTCATTATTCATGAATGTTATCTGTTATAACTCAAACAGTTTGCGTGGAAAGAACATTTACAACATTTTAGATTGGGCAGTGTTTGTCGACCGAACCCATACATCATATTTCTGGTTTTTTTTAAGAGTTCTCACCATTACTGGTTAAACTCGCTCTGCTGGCTTGTCGCACTGGACAGATATGCCAGGGATCCCTTGTCTACTGGCAATGGAAGTACAGGTGAGTCGCCAGCATTAGTCGGAATTTTGGACAGGTTCACTCCTGCGGGGAATAGAACCTTAGTATCGGCGCTCCGAATTAAGCAACAACCCACTGAACTATTTCATCCCCATGTAACATCAAAAGGATAAGACAAGACTGCCACTATTTCCTAAATGTTATAACAAATTTTATAGCTGAATGCGAACATCATAAGTGCCGACCTTTTCGTTGGCGCATTTTTAAAGAACCTCGGAAGCTGCATTTTAGGTATGGTTTTAATCGTTTGTTGTCGATAAAAATCCTGAAATATTTAGGCATTTTTGATACATTATTTTGAAATTTGGACTGCTAAATGTGGTGACTGCAAAAATATGGGGGATTCGCGGTGTTCTAGTAGCGGTGACCTGGTAGGCCCCGCGGGGTATCACAATAAGCAATATTTTACTATAATAACGAAATTAAATTATTGAGACTTTTTTCTTTGGTTATATTAATTATTATTGTAGTTTTGTTTATTTAATATTAATTTTATAATATTTAATATTAATATTAACATTAAAGTTTAATTAAAAATTATATTCCTTTTAAATTGTATTTTGCAGTTTTATCACATAAATTTGTTGCAATTGTATTTATTCGATGAGTCTTACAGCATCAATTAACGAAGTAAGGATTTTTTAAATTTCTGTAGTTCGCTTGGTACCATTGTCTAAAGACTTTTGGTTATTTTTGTTTACTTAGGAATGGAACTGCAGATGGAGTTGTAGCACCAGCTAGATTTTATAATCTTATAGAATAGGTTTGCTTCCATCAAAAGAATCGAATTCATAGCATAGTGCGCTACAATCGAAGAAACATATTGCTGGAATACTGACTATCCAGAATCGGAAATTTCCAATCCAACGCCACTGTAAATAGGCAATAAGAATAATGACAGTGTCGTCTGTTGCCACGCAACTGTGTTTTTTTATTGCCATCTTGAATGGATATAATGATAAGCGCCGCACGATCAAAATTTTCCATCACCAAACTTGGGCAGTTAGATCGTTAATAATGTATGACAAAAATATATTTACAAAATAATAAATTCTAATAGTAAAGATTTTGCAAAGTAAACAACCAAATGAAAAATTATAAAACTATTTACTATGCAGAACCCGACAGTTCGGGTCCATCATTCAAAGAAGTAGTAAAGCGTACCCGAGAGCTTGGGTCCGTCATTCACAATAAAAACAATAAAAGTCAATCTTGTTGAAGCGGAGATAGGATTATATGAATGAATCATAGGAATGTGTGAATGATTCATTCAGTCTGTGCTAAATCATTCGTAAAAGTTAGGTACGATATGATTCACTACAAAAGGATAAAATTTAAATAATTTCTGAAAGAAGGAAAAGAAAAGAATGAGGAAATTTAGAGGAGCAGGAATGCACTTTAAGGATATCAGACTTATACGAGGATGAATTATTAGACTTCGGATTATTCGTTATGATGAATATTCGCGATAGTTTTATACGAAATTTTTGAGGACGGTGAATTTTCAGAATTAGCTAAGTCGACTAAATTTTTATTATTTTTATTTTAAATAATTTATTTTTTAAATTATTTAAATTATTAAATTATTTACTGAAATTCTAAGGCTTATAAAAGAAATGACTTTCAAAAATGTCTTTATTTGCTGAAATATGCTAAAAAGCATAGTATCGATGAGAATGAACGATTGAAAATTTTGGCAAATACGAGTTTATGTGAAGCGAAATATAAAGGTCGTATTTATCATATCGAATACAGAAATGCGATTTTGGTGCTCTTTCCTGAGGTTTTTTCTATTCAGCATTATTTCGATTATTCTGATCGGCGATCATATCAAAAAATTATCAAGATTATCATTTATTGTTTAAAAAAAATGAGAATAAAAAAAAATCTAAAAATCTAAAATCTAAATTTATAAAAAAATCTAAAATTTGTACTTGCAAAAACTATTAATCTATCAATTAAATTGATTTTGCATGAGTTTGAAATTGAAGTTTTTTAGTTGAAGTCAGTTCAAGATTATTCGCTAAGGAATGCCACAGAAGCTGTTGCAGCTTTCAATTTGGCTTTAAATGCATTTGTGCGTGGACGCCGTAAAACAGCAATCGAGCTTGTGCGTTCGATTATGGCAATGGAAAATTTACCTGGTATTGTGGATTTGTATAATTAAATTCAATTAAGTTTTAATAATATTTTTAGTTTATTATTATTAAGTTTTAAATTAAATTAATAATATATTTTATAAATTAATATATTTATTGTTATCATATTTATCAATAGTATACATTTTTTATTATTCGTATTTTAGTTTGATTTAATTTTTTAAAGATGATGTTTTCCTTGCCACTTCGTTGTTTGCAATCGAAATGAGTTTAACATTGTGTCAACCTAAATTAGCGCTGAAACAAGCTCATCGCCTTCGTGAGAATCCCATTTGGAAATGCTCTTGCGCGTCACAGCGAGATTATCTTGACATTCTCGAATATAGAATTCGTTGTAGACTTGCACAAACAGTGCCAAGTCTTGATTTAGCTCGAAAACCTCAGGTTCTAGCTTTATTTTTTTTTGTCTTATTGCCATATGGCAACAAATATTCTAAATTAATTTTTTTTATTTTTCATTCTTTCGTCTTTTAAATGAAATTTTTAGACTATACATTATTGTCTCATACAATCTGAATTGGATATGAAAAATGGAAATGCTTCGAAGGCACTTCAGCGTCTTTTCAAGTTTCGACTATCCGCTCAGGTAAAAAATTTAATTTTTTGAAATTTTAAAATCAAAATTCGATGGATGCAATTTATTCAATTTTTCTATATTTTTCTTCACTTTAAAATTCGACGTTCAAATGGGATTTAATAAAATTTAAAATTAAAATATTTGATTTTGATTACGTAGGATGAGGAACGGCGCATTATCGATAATGCAGTTGGATGTATTTATGCTCTTTCGCTGAAAAAACACGAATTGGCAGAAACATATTTTCGATCTGCGATGACAATAGGCGAACGAAAAAGGCTGAGGTCATTTTATTTTTTCATTTGTTTTTTCTTCCTCTAACAGCTATTATCATTATCAGTTAGACTAGATCCGCCGACTACAAGACTACAAGGGGCGTTTCCAAGTCGCTCGATCGGATGCCATATTTGAAAAAAAACCATTCTTCTTTCTGTCGTTTAAGCCCATATATTATTCTGTCCTTCTTTGCATTCAATATTTGTTCTGACCATATTCCAAATCTTACTTTATCCTTTTTTTAAGGTCATCCGTCTTAGACTTTAACAAATAGAGATATTCGTCAGTTCCAGTAGACGGCGCTTAGTGATATTTTTAATGCAAATGGCATTTAATCGACGAAGCAACCATGATGGATCTATCATCCCTACGCACACTTGAAATATACCCTAGGTTGAATGATCAAAATCCATTTGCACTGGCCAGATTTCGTCACACAACAAAAAAGCACCCAATGTGGCCGTATGATGTTGATGTTGATGTTTCTGATGTTGATTTCGAGACAGTTCAATAGAAATTTCGCCATGTCTCGTATGGAAAAAGGTATTTGACCTTTCGCATGGTTGTTTGGTTTAAAACTGATTGGTGCTGAATTTATAAAAGATATTTTGCCAACGTCTGTTATAAGAAAAGGGTTTCATCCTATTTACATTAATGTTTTGATTTATCAGCTTTCTCAAGATCTGTGGTACTATACTCTTGACTTACTTGAACACTTCTTGAATGCAAGTGATATCTTTAATTTAGACTATCACATAATTGAATGTTGTGTGGAAAAAACGCTTTCATGTCTTCATATAATCTGGTTCTTATTTCGAAAGCATGTTTGAGCTTTCCATTAACGCAAGCTTGTGGTGAAGATGTTCAAATGATTCAAATGTTTAATGAGATAAATTATCGCTGTCATGTTCCGTCATCCACTATCGCTTTATCATTTTAATCTGAAAGATAAAATCATAGAACATATGATAGTGGATTATTTCTTTGATTTGGTGTTCCAGCGCCCTCCTTAACTTAAATATTTGCATAGCACACTCTGTCCTGTTCTAAACCCAGCTTGGTTAGGACGCATCCTGCCATTTCGTACTGCCATAAATTGTTCAACAGAAGAGAGATTAAGATTTTCCCCAAGACCTCTACTCTCAATAACAGAGTTGTTCTGTTGACGGCTGGCAGCTGCAGTCATATCACTCACGAGTGTTCCAGCTATATCGGGGATAGATGGTGCGTCGTGATTAAGTTTAATCTCAAAGAACTCTTCATCGTTTAGGATGATCCTTTAGTGTTCCAACACGCATCCCATCTTATCTCAAATCATTTCACCGACTATTTCTCTCGTTATGGTTCAGGGTCACACTACACCACCGCACCAATAATGGTTCTTCCCTGCCGCTGTTGTTGCCTTCGAAGTGTTCGATAGTTAGGATGCGGGTGGACTTTTGGGCAGTTCGACAGTTTCTTCCTCACAGTTTGATTTTCATTTTTTAAAAATGAGCTTCAGAACTAATTTTGAAGAATTCTTCACTTTTATACTGATTTTGAAGCGTTTTTTAGGTCAGAAGAATCAACTATCCCTAGACACTGTCTCATATATCATGCTGCACTTACTCAGTTGCATTCGGGTCAAGCCGGATCAGCATTTAAACTTTTTCTTGCGGTTCTTCCCTTCTATCCTAGACAGCCTCGCATATGGCTGCGCTTAGCCGAATGCTGCATACATGCATTGCAGGTATTTTGGAGTATTTTGAATTCTTTTGATATTGTTTTGGTAGTCTATGGCATTTCTTAAAAATTATTTAAATTTTCCAATGATAATTTATTATCATTTTAATACTTTAAAGTTGAGTAATATTTAAGAAATATTTAGAAGATTTGAAAACATAATTCTTTTCTTATTTTATCTATAGAAGAAACGCAGTGAAAAAGAAAACTCAATCAAGAGAATTGGTATTGGACATTTCGTTCTTGTATCAGAAAATGGCTTAAATGAGTAAATTTATTTATTTTCTAAATTGTTTCTAAATTCAGTGTAAAAAATCGGTCTATCTCCTTGACTGTATCATTCCATTTTTCTCTTTATATTAATGTTTGATCAAACTTTTCGAGTATATGATGTTGGTTGATGGGTTTTTTATATGAGCCTATCAGATTTATAAAATATTATTAGAATTTTTTTAAAACAAGGCATTTATCTGTTCTTGTATTATTTCTTTTACAGACTATATTCAAGACTGACGTAATAACTTTTTTTTTTTAGACATCAAGCTGAGCTGCAGAAAAACGCTGAAATTAGTTGGGATTTTGCTGCACAATGTGTGCGTAATGCGCTGGTCCTTACAGAAGGCCAGAATGATTATATGTATTTATTGCCTTGGCTTTATGCTGCATCTGCTTTTATTAATCTTAATCTTGAGCGTTATGGATTTGCTCTCCGTTCAGCATTACATTTGGCTAGGCTTCCTCAAGTATCGCCGCTGCATAAATTTATGGCAGTTCTGTTTAAGGTTACTGCCTTTTTTTGCTTGACTTTTTTGACTTTTTGGTCTTTTATGTTCTAAAAAACTCTGCTTTCCTAAGTTGAATTTGAAAAACGGTTCCTTTGGAGTTTCTTTAGATCCATGCCATCTTTATGAATCTTCATTTGTTTTTATTTTTATAATGGCAATTTTCTAGGCAGAAGCACTGGCTCATTTGGATAGATTATCAGAAGCATTGGATTGTTTGAATCTTGCAGTACCATTGCAATCAATTCCGAGGACCGTTTCAGCTCTTTTATATAACCGTGCTTGCTTACAAGCTTTGGCTGGGGATTTGAAGTTTTCTCACACGGTTAAAAAGGTTGGCTATGGTTCTTAATCTCGATATTTTATAAAGAAATTGAGAAATTAATAATTTTCCCTTTTTTTCCAGCTTTTTGAGCAGAAAACGGATCATTTGTTGCCTGAAGCTTATTCTCTTATTGCTTACGTTAATTTGAGTCTTGGGCACTACAGTGAAGCTAAAGATGTGGCCGAAAAAATGGTCCATGCTAGAAATTCATGGTTGTAAAATATGTGGATTTATTATTTCGCAGGTTGGATAAAGTTTTTTTGCTTATGGGCTTTTTAATTTGTTTTTTTTCCGTCTTATTGCTTAGGATTTTATAAGGTTTTTCAAAAAATTTTGATTATGAAAGGTTTATAAAAATAAGATTTTCGATTTCATTCTCAAAATAACAAGTTATAGATAATTCTGATTTATCTTTCGGCCAAAGCGATTATTGTTTATTGATGGTATATGTTACTTAAAAATTTACTTAAAAATTTTTCTTTTTTTATGAAATCGAAAGCATTTAGGTAACTTACGGCGATTGAGCAATGGATATAGGTCGCATCCATTTTGTGGTATACAAATTACTTTCAAGTGAGTTGTTATCGAATATTCATGCAAAACCGTCATTTTCCACTCTATTCTATTGTTGTGGTACTCCCTTATTCCATTCATTTGATATTTTAAATTCATTTTTGAGAATTTATCGGACTCGTGGTACTCAGCTTGATCTTCCAAAAATTTCTGTGAACACGAAAATTCAGTGGCATGTTACGGTGTCCTTGGCCATTTACTGAATACTTTTAAGAAAATTTTGAAATTTTTAGTCGTTATCCTAATATAGCGTGTCATTTCGCCGAATTCTCTCCTTTTTAAAACATTGTATTAATGTCTTCAGTTCGCTGCTGAATAGTTTGATTTTTTCCTCGTCCAGTTTCCCTGCCCTTAGCCTCCGTTTCATGCGACCCATCTCTAATAGGCTTGTATAGTTTCATTGCTTGTAGTTTCATAGTCTGTAGCCGGTTCTGTGGGTGTTGTACCATTAATAATCGAAAGTTTTAATTTGAGATCTATAGTATTCTCATTTTTTAGTCTTCATTCCTTCATTTCTCTAAATAAGAGTTTAAGTTTGTATTGAAAATTCTTCTAAGCCCACGTCATTGCTGGCAAATTAGACGAGTAAAACGTTTCTAAGCATTCTGACTCGATTTCTTATGTGGAAGTAACAAAGGCCACCGTCTTTTTTCCACAGTCTTATTGCTGGGTGATTCTGTTAATCCAAGTCTTAATAAACATTCCTCGCTTTTATAATTATCATCACTGGGCTTGGCTAATAGCGAGGTATGCCCCAATACTAGCGATGAATGACAAAGATCTTGGCTTGACAAGCGATGCTTTGTGATATTATTGTTAATACTGATAGTGTTCGTTAGATGCTCTAAGGTGAGAATTTATCCGCTCTCTGGAGATGTAAAGTGTATCTTAGGCATGATTGATCAACAGTAGGTTGATTCTTGATAACTTTAGCTGAGAACTTTCATTTTAGTTATATAACAGTTTCACTTCGCCACGTAAAGTGCTTCTAGCTGCAGCTATCCATATATCATCTTTCACATGACTTTTAGCTATGAAAGTGGATCCATATATTTAAGGTCGAGGCTTCGTGAACCACTAACGAATTTCCAATGGCCAAGACCTTTTCGTGTAGACACATAACCGACTAACGTTTGTCCGACTTGCTTTACTAAGTTATTAATATTTTCACTTTGATAAGTTAGAACAGAAAACTCGAGAACATTGTTGTCTTTAGCATTACAGATTTCAGGCCCAGTTTCCATAATTATCAGATATGCCATCAGATGTTGGGATACCATGCGCATCAGGATAAGCTGACACTATTTGAGCTTTCATACACAGATTATAGTTACGAAATTATGAAATTTTTAAACCTTACAACAATTTTATTTCAGTTTGAATTTTCTTATTTGTACTTATCGCATCGCACCTTCTTTATATCAGTTCTTAAGAGAAAAAATAATATATAGTAATAATAAGAAAAATAACGAAGAAATATATATGAAAATTGGAAATTTTTTTTTCTAAGACCGTTCATTTCTGGTTAGGCTGGCTCATATGGTTTGCAGGACTAGACAAATTTTACCAGGGAGCCATAGTGGAGGATATAATTGCAGGTGGGCAGCCAGCATAAGTCGGATATTTGAAAGCTTTATTTCTGTTCGAATTAGAACTTCAGCATCAGTATTCCGAACTGAGAGCAGTAACTCACTTCCCATTCTACTTTCCCAGTATATATGAAAATAAAAGAAAATATGCAAATAAAATAAAAAAAACAACTACTCTTAGCAATTTATCTTAATGCGGAGAATGTCAATAATACTCGATAAAAAATTTTAGATTGTTTCAAAAAATGCACAAAATGGTTGGAATTTGAGTAGCTGATTTTTTGTAATAAATTGGAGAATCAATTGAGCAAAGTATCAGAAAAAAAAATTTGGCAACGATAGAAAAGAACATTGCATCGTCAGATTAGAGGTGCAAATTCTATCCCTTGTAATTTTTAATTTTTTAATTTTTATATAATATCTTAATTTTATTATTATATAATAAATTAATTATATAAAATATTTTAATTTTGATAAAGTTGTTGCCAAATGGGCGAATGTTTTTGTCTTCTATGGAGACACGGGCTATTTGTTATTACTTTCACGTTTTAAGATTATGTTTATTTAATATCTCTTAAGAATTCGCGCATTTTATGCTCAATTATCTTCTTATCTTCTGATATGCCATAATGCAAGACCGTGAATGTTATGGCTTTAGCGCGCCTAGAAAGTTGACGGTATTTATTGTTTATTGTATTTGAAAAAAGTTGAAAATTTTTTTAAAAAAAAATGTTTTTTTAAAATTATTTTATAAATATTGTTTTAAAAATATATTTATTGTTTAATTTATTTGGCGAGTTTGTTTAGCATTGTTATTTTGGTTTTAAGTGATTCGTATTTGTTTTAAAGTAAAATTGAAATATTTGTTTTTTGTTTGGAAGTTTAAATAATCGTTTAAATTATTGCGAATACGATAGGAAATGAATGATAAATATTTTCATTGTTCGGTATAATGTGCGGTTGAAAAAAAAAGGTGCTTATTTATTATTTATATTGGAAAAAAAGCTATTTGTGATAAAACATTCTTGAACATTAGAAATTCCTTATCACAACAACTGTTACGATATCAATAACGATATCAATTTTTGTAATGATTCCTTATTAAAATTTTATAGAGAAAGAAATTTGAGAAGGCGTATAAAAGATTGAGAAAGGAAAGGTTAAAGTAAGTATCGTTTTAGTTGTGTATGTTTCTTGCTTGAAGTTAATTGTAAATAGAAGAGCGAAGAAAGTTTATTATTTTACGCGTGCTAACAAGAAATTAGGAAACATTTGAGCGGGGCGTGGTGTGTTGTGACGCGTGTACGCATTGCTTGGTTATTAATCTGCTTACATCTATAGTAACATTTTAAATCAAAGTTTTATGATGCTTATGAGATTTTTGATGCGTTAATATAAAATTTTATGGGTTAAGAGTGTGGGGATGATGGTGACGACGTGGCGTTCTTTCAAGATTCTTTTCTTCTTGTTGGTAACTTATTGCACCTTTCTTTGTCGGCGTGAACAGAAAGCAGTGAGTGAGTGTTAATCACATTGTAATGAAAAAGACTAAATTAAAATATTTTTTCTTTAAAGATTGCTGATATGTAATCATCGAGAAAAGAATATAGAAATTATTTCGCATTTATTTAGAGGGTATTCAAAGTTTTAAAACTTATCATCGTAGTATTGTCGAAGTGATAAGAAGTCGCAAAATCTTTTAATTCCTCATTCTAATTCTTTTTTTATTGATTATTTTTTTATTTCTTTAAAAATTTCTACGAAATTTTTTGTTTATTTCGAAAAAAAAATGATTTTATTTTGAGATTTTTTACACTTTTTTTTCTTAAAAGTTCAAAAGAATGGTGAATAATTTTATAATAAAATATTGAAAATGTTTTTTAAAATGTCGATTGTTTTTGAATTTTTTTTTCTTTGAAACAAAACTAAATAATAATTATTAAATAATTAAATCAATAAATAAATTTTATTAAAGTGCGTATAAAATTTTTTTACGATTGAATTTTCATTCTTTTCATTTCTTTAAATTCGTTTCTTTCTTCTTTTAGCAGTTGGTACCATTACTGATTAGGCCGAGTGCGTTGGCTACTACGTTGCCAAGAAGGCGTTTCCAAGCCTTCTATGAGAGAGCTGGTGAAGCTAATTGATAATTTTGAGAAATGATCATAAGAACTGTAAAAAATAATAGAATTTCAATAGAAAAACGATAAATTAGCAGTTAGTAGTCAAATTTATCAGAATTTTAGGAAATTAATAGCGGATTAGGATTCAGACTTTTCAGTTCAGCTAAAATTTCAATTTAAAAATCCACTTCAGAAGGTTGGCATCCTTCAGATTCCTTCAAATGTGCTTATGACTGCTAAAATCTTTTATTCTTTATTTATTATTTTTTAGAAATTTTTATCAGATATCAAATTTTCATCTTTTTTATTGTAATGCTTTTTTAATGATAAAATTTTATTTACATTTAATCATTGCACTCGAATGTATTTACGCTATTATTTCCAATAATTATTTTGCGGTGCCATGGAATTAATAACTAATACCGGATGACTGGAATGTAGTATCTCAGTTTTCATTCCCCAAAAGCGGTAGTGGCATATACTGTGTCATCTGTCGCTGAATTAATAATAATGTTAATAATTAAGAGATATCTACGAACACTTAGAAATCATTTCAGGTAAGTCCTGCGTGACAGCAACGGCAACGCATTCGAGTGCGATAAAAAAAGTGACAATTTTTCCTTGGGCGATGCAGCAATAAATTAGATTCACTTTGTTACAGCTTTTGATCATACATCATACCAACGGTTAATTATTGTTATATTTTATTAGAAGGCGTTGATTTTGATAATAGCGCAAAAGAAACTATTATTTAGATTTGCAAGGATTTTTTTGAAAAATTTGATTTTTCTAATCACAATTGCATTGATTGCTCATTTCTCATATTTTTGAATGAAATGCGTCTTCATTTGAAAGTTAGAAAAAGTTAGAAAGTTAAAAAAAAAACTTTGAAAATATTTATTATTTAAAAATAAATTTTTTTTTAAGATTTGTTTTTTAAAAAAGATAAATCAAATATCAAATATTTCATACCACATTTATTCTTATGAAAGTTCCTTTCATTAAATAAATTTTATAAAAATTCAAATAAATTATATGAAATAAAAATTATTTAAGATAATTTTAATTATTGTTTAAGATGGCTGGCTCGAGGAAACGAAAATTTTATGAAGTTTCCGATGAAAATATTGCTATTCAAAAATTTAAACGATATCACCAAAAAATTTGCGATGCATCGATAGATTTACCAATCGAGAAGCCAATTCGACGAATGAATCGTATATTAATTGATTCGAAAGATGATGTATTTATATTTGTAATTTCAAAAACAAAATTTCCCTATAAAAATTTTATAAAAAAATATTTGCTATTTTATAGGTTGATTTCGCGAAATATGTAAGGAAAAGCGTGGATATCAAACTTATTATTTGTCTTCTTTCGCGCTACAACGCTTCTCTTTCAGCTTTTGATACATCAATTTTCGATTTGCTTCGTATCCTAGAACGAACATATCAAATTAATTTAAGGTAAAATATCATCAGTTCTAATTCAATGAAAAATCGGCCAGTTTATATAGCGCGTATTTCTAATAGCTGAAATGGTTTAGTCGCATATGATAATGGCAAAAATCAAAAACAGCTATGACAAGTTCTCTAACTGTGTTTTCAATATATGTCATTTTGGGGATGTTGGCTAAGTGGATTACTTATTAGGATATTTTTTCATCCGAATGTCTTGGTAATAGTTGGATCGATCATTGCTGCAGGATATTATTAGTTTTACTTGATTTGATAAATTTATTTGGTGTTTCGCTGCTACTTAATTTGATAAAGCACATTTTATTTTGCAAAAATAAAATAAATTTTATTTTATTTTTTTATTATGCTATTATATATATTTTTTAATGCTATTATGATTTTGATGTTTTTAATGTTAATTTTAGTGCATTTTTTCCTCTGACGTGGAGTTCGCAAGCAAAGGACAGTTATCAACAATTGCAAAATTTCGGTGCAACATTACACAATCGTTTAACATCTGACCAAGTCAGTTTTCTAAATTGTGATCGAAAATTATTTTATTTTTGTGTACACTCCCAAATTTTGGAATTTCCATATCTTTTCGTGGATCCATTATTCTATTTACCTAGATCTTAAGGTTTTGGGACACTTGGATCCTGAAAGAGTATGGTTATCTCTGCTCGCAATAGATGCAAAAAAAGTGAAGTGTGATCAAAATTTGTATGATCCTCGTTTCCTTCTTCGCTGTTTCATCTCGACTGTGGAGGAAGGATCTGATGTTAATTTTTGTTGATTTTGGTACTATCTTTGATTCAATCGCAGAACCGCTTCAATTAGTTGGGAGACCAACTGTTTATCCAGATTACTTTTTTTAATTCTTTGAAACATTAAAGTTGTACCAGATATCTAGTCATGGTACGCAATCATCAATTTCAGTGCATTAATATATATTCTGGAAACTTGTAATTTAATAATCAATATTTTTAATTTTAAGTTATTCCCACAAGTTTCATAATTTTTTAATTTCAGTTTTAGTTTAATTTCAGTTCAAAAATTTTTTCTAACCAACAATTTTCAGTTAACAGCCCGTAAATTTATCGATAGCAATGCACTGTCCTTTGCATTTGCAGCAACGAGTTGTTCTGACAAGAAAGAGCGAGCTGTTTCATACTACATTCTTCGAAGGTTTTTGGAACGCTTGAATGAATTAAGCGCTGAAAATTTTGTTGAAAAGCCCTTATTTGCTTATCTTCTGAGAATATTCAGGAATAGTATTCCTCGTCCAAATGAAAGACTTCCTCATGGTTAGAATTTTTATTATTATTATTGCTTTTTAGAATTTCGACTTTCTTAATTTTTCTGTGGGAAATAATGGTTCATCTGATTCATCTGATCGTAAGGTTTTATTGAGGATAGAATGGTTCAGTGAGTTGTTGCTCAATTAGGAGCGCCGGTGCTGAGGTCCGGTTCCCCACAGGAGTAAACCTGTACAAAAATCCGGATGATGCTGGCGACTCACTTGTATTTCTATCGCCAAGGGATTCCCTGTCATATTGCCCAATTGCGACAAGCCAGTGGAGCGAGTTTAACCAGTAATGGTGAGGACTCGTAAGGTTTCATTAAAATAATTGTGTAAAGACATTTTCTTGTCCATTCAATCTCATTTTTCTCATTTTTTTTCAAAATTTTTTTCAGTCGTTTCGCATTTTTTCGCCCGAACGAGCAAATTATTGCTTAATCCATCAGATTCAGTTTATGCCTCAATTTTGGCCTTTCTTACTCTTAAGCCAACAGTGGATATTGGGAACGTCCCAGAATTTTATAAACTATTTTTGAGCTCAAGTACTCATTTCCATAATGATGAAAGGCACTGGATCTTAAAACTTTTATCTGGTGCTATGATTGAGCCCAATGATTACAATATTTTGCAGAAAAAGTAATTTTGAAATTTACTGGATTGATTTCAACTTTAATTTTATGCTATTTTTCTATGGAATATCTCGAAAATTAACCATAACTATAATAACTATATTGCATATATCTTTTTCATATTTTGAATTAGCTAATTTATTAAGATCTGGAATCACGCTGTGTTTATCACTTTTTGCTTCCAATATATCCGATCGAATTACTAGAAAATATATTTTGTTAATTCTTCGTTCGGTGTTGAAATTTCCATCTTTAGCATATGACCTTTTTCATCGCCATAATTTTCATTCTTGGATTGCATTGACAATTCAAGTAAGTCTTTCTGGTTTCATTTCGCTTTTTTCCTTACATGAAAAATGTAAATTTGGTAAAATGAACCAAATGAATTCGATGTAAAATATTTTATGAAAATGATTTTATGGATTTTAGCAGTCGTTCATATCTCAATGGGATGCTGTATTTTTATGTCAGTTGTTTATAACGTTATATGAGCAGATAAAAAGTTACTGTTTAATTAAACGTAAAAATCCGATGAAGCTTGGTTCTGTATCAATGAAACAACGAATGCTTCAGATGGTGGCGCCGAAGGTTGATTTTTTATTGTTTTGATTTTTAATTTTTGTTTTAGCCAGTGGAGCACTGTATCTTCGCGGTTTTTCATAGTTCAAGAGGAAATTCATGAATTTTTCTGAATTGCAATTTTAATTGCAAATTGCGAAAATTTTTCACTGCTTTTTGCTTTTTGGGCAAACTAATTTTTATACTTTTATACATTTATTTCTCTTAGAAGATCGACATTATAATCGCTGAAAGCATGGCGATTTTATCTGGCTTTTCTATGCCTTTAGTTTTTTTTCTCGTTCTTCCTTTTGTCTTCTTAGATTGATCAAAATATTTTCGTCTTTTAGCTATTTTTTGATACTTTTTATTAAATTCGCTCCTTTTTTCGCAGACTTTAGAAAAGTAAAAGAGCACAAACTCCCATATTGACGACCATTTTCTGTTTAATTTATTAATTAATGTTTCTAGATTAAATATAGCATTTCACTCATTTATACTGAAGAATTTCAGATTTTATCTGTAATAAGTAAAATGGACGATAGGCAAAATAATTTTGGATCAAGGCTTAATGAAGTGATAAATGATAATTGGTCTGCCTTGTTGGTGCAGTCATCTGTGAAAGAAATGTATTAAAAGTATGATGCACAGTTGGAAATGTGAGATATTTGTTGATTAGTTTATGGATAGTTTGGACATTACTAAAAGCACTTGTTATTTATAACCTCTCTGCACATTTTTGAAGATTAGAAGATGTTTTAAAAAGTAAATAGAGTAAACAATAAAAATGGAAAATTCTTATTATTTCTTCATTATAATCAAATAAATAAATTGAAGGTTAAATGAAAATTTGCATATTCTGAACAAACTAATTTTTCGTTAATTATTGAAATTAATATTATTGTTATCTTTAAGATTAGAGTGATTATTATTTTAGTCTAAGCAATTTGCGTATAATCACCATAAGTCCTTTTCGCAAAGCGAATATTATTTCCAAAAAATGGTCTGATAACAAGCTCTCCAGATACTCGCATTTGGTCAGTTCGAAGCTCTGATTTCACTTTCAAATGGCGCATTAACAGAGCGAGGATACATTTTTCTTCCATTATCGCAAATCGTTGTCCTGAATTTGTTCATTATTTTGAGATTTCTAAATCATTACTAAAGAGGAGATCTGATATTTCTTGTCAAAATTTGATAAAATTAAATGATAGCAGACCTATGCAATTCCTGGCTCCTGCGGAAAATGGTATATAAGAATAGGGGTGTTTGACTTCATTGTTGATAAATCTGTCAGGGTTGAAGACCTCCGGGTCCGGCCAGTACCTTGGATCACGGTGCACCATTGATGGTACAATGATGACACCAGTTCCTTTCGGAAGTGTATTATTTTCTGCAAAATTGTTGCGAAATTGTATATTTTTTAATAAAGCTCGATTAAGAATTTGTAAAATATAACTCTGTTGGTATAAATCTCGGCAAAAAAATCAACTATTTTATCGGTTTCTTGTGACAAATAGTTGATAATGACGAAAGAAATGAAAAGTGATTAAGTGATAAAATGCACTGATTTTCGTTTCTTCTTGAAGTAAACGTGCAAGAATTGGAACACTAGGATATAATCGAAGAGTTTCCTTTATACATGCCTCGAGATATTTCAGTTCGCCGAGATCTTCGTAAGTTATCGGTCTCTCTTCTAAATCGGTCATTAGACGAGTTAAATTCACTTCAGTGTGGAAAATAAAAAATGAGTTAAAACTATATTTAATGTAGTATAGTTTCGTATCTATGCGGTTATTGAAAGTAAATAAGGAAGAGAAGCGTAATTTTTTTAAAGTTTTTGGTAACCTAGCTAAATTTCAGATGAACTTTTTAGTTCTTACCTTTGCCTAATACATCATCGACTTCTTTTTGAACTTTCCTTTGAATATCTGGATTCGTACCCATCAAATGTAGAAACCAATTCATACTTGCAGAAGTCGTATCGTGACCCTCAAAAAAAAATGAATAAATTTTTTTCCTACAAATCGTTTTTTGCATAATTACCTATTTGTTCCATATTGCAAAAAAAAAACGATTTTATTTGACACTTTATAGGCATTTTTTTCGTTTGCTTCCTCCAATAACACTCACCATTTCTGGTTTGACTGACTTTACTGACTAATCCTTTCGCCAGAGTTGTTGGGGATAAAAATTCAAAGAGACACCACTCGTATTTTACTTTTAATAGCAGCTTTACTCTCAGGGAATAGGAATCGAACCCACGATGCTTGATCTCATACCAGTCGAAGGAACACACCAGTTGGCCATACTTCCCGAACTTGATCTTAGATTCTCCAATTTGGTTCACTCATCACGATTTAACTGATAGATATTAGATGTGCATATCAACCTAATATTTATTTATTTATTTCATTCATCCTATGCTGAAAATTATAAATTTATCGATAGCACATAGGTGATTAGATTTATCTATATGCGAAAATCGTCAGCATAGCACAGATTCGTCTTTACTATGAGAAGATATTTCATTTTTCTCACATACAATCCTAAATATTTTCGTTAAGCTTATTTTCGCCTATATGTGAATAAAATCGTTTACAAAAGCGTTATACCTCAAAAGTGAATGTGTCAACTTCTTCTTGAATACCATCCAACGATAAATCGCCTTTCGAATGCATATCAAGCATTAAATCTAGAAATGCCATTCTCTTTTTCCCTGAAATATTTTGATTTCTAAAATAAATAAATAAAGAGGTAAAAAAATTAATTGAAATTTTCTCATTTTCTCAAATTGCTAAAAATTATAAATCTTTTCAAATTTTTTTCTTTTTTTTTATCATTTATTAGCCAGGAAATGTGAGATTCTCACATTTTTTCGTCACTAGTTAGTCAAAAATTTGAGATTTTTAAATTTTCTGCCAATTTCTTAAAATCATATAAAAAGAAAATATGCCCCCCCCCCCCCGAAGAATTAAAAGGTCAATTTAAAAATGGAGATTAGGTTCATTGATCTGAAATTTAAATTTTTATCGCAAATACTGATTGCAAATATCGATAAAATAATTAATAGCAAAAGAGTGAGTTTTACAATTGAAATTTCATATTACTTCTTTTATGAAAGCAATAATGCATTGAGGCACTTTATCAATAGAATAAATAATAATTATCAAATCAAATCCTTTAATCAAAAATCAATTGTAGCAAAAAAAGAAAAAAAATTTTGAAATGATTGCAACCTCGTTTACTTTCACTTTTTAAAAGATTTTCAATTCCTCCAGCCTCATCAGCTAATCTTTTGCGCTCTTTGATTGCCTATAAAAAAATTTTTTATCGAATTTTTTTTTTTTGCATATTTTACATGAAAAGTTAAAATAAAATAAAAGAAATAAAATTATAAAATTGTGGAATACCTTTCCAGTAAAATCGTGCAATATTTTAATGTGTTTTTTGCATTCCGAGCCATTTCCAAACAAATTGAAAAAAATTTTTGGATAATACTGCGCTTTTATTGTTCGTTGATGAATAATATATTTCATTCTAGGATCATAGTTATACACATAATTTTCTTACTTACTATATGCTTGGTTAAAGTTAATTTTACGCGATTTTTTTTTCTATTTATTTGATAATTTTTGTGATTATAAGAATTTAAAAGAATGAATGATTAATAAATCAACTGTAAGAATATGAAGCAAATATTTCAACAATTTAAAGGAGAAAAAAAACCTAAAAGAATTAATCATTAATTATTAATAAGTATGATAAACCATTCAGTTTACAATGGGAATGTTGATTTTTTATGCATAAATGCGTTATTACCTCCAAACTGAATCGAGATATGGTGAAGGCTTATTCTGAGCGTCAGGATTTATTCCAAGAGCTGCTTCGCAAATTACATCAAGAGTACAGTAAGAAACAATATGAAAAATTTCATTGTAGTGCTCACCAATCATATTCTCAAATTTACTCAGAAGCGTTCTTCCATGCTTGTAATAGATCTGTTAAAAAATATTTCTGTTAGTTCGATTTCATAACTAGTAGTTTCACAAATAATTTATTTAAAAATTTATTTATATGTACCTTTAAAATTTTAAAAATAAATAAATAAAGCAAAAATTAAGAGCACATCGTAGAAATATAAATGCGAACTGATCTGTTAAGAATCTCTTTGCAATTTGCAATACTAGCAATATTGGTAGGGATCATTACAGAATTGATAAATTACCACAATATTTCAAGCATGAAATTTCCTATGAGACAATGATTTCTTTACATAATGTGATATTTTGAATTAACTGAGGAAACGAGTGGTGTGTTGACTAAGTATCGTGGAATTCCCCAAGGGGTGACATTCATCAGAAGTAAAATCTAATGGCTGAAAGAATTACGTGTAATCTAGTGACTCTGTGGTGATACATCAATGCAGCAAGGCAAATTAGAAATAGCAAATGGCAAGTAACTGTTAAAACAAGAAAGAAGAAGGCAATCAAAATAATTTCATCATCAAAATGCATGATTATTGAGTGTAATTTGTCTAATTTTGGTGACAAATTTTTTGATGAAATAAGCGAGATTTTCTTTAATGCATGGTTTATAATTCTGGCATTCAAAATAAATTTGCACTCATATAATTCCATTTCCTTATAATGAAAATTTAATTTACGCATTTTAATGAAACTTTACATTGAATTGGTATTTGAACTTGTGAAATTTCCCACTAGATTGACCACGAAAATTCTTTCAGATGAATTCCATTGATTTGATTTTTTAAATTTTTAAAAATCGACAATATCACAACTTAAAAAAATTTTTTTTTGATCTAACGACTTGATTATTGACAATTCAGTTTGTACATTTTAAGCACACATACACCGTTCGTATCGATATTGTATTGATAAAATAGAAAGTTTTGTGGTCTTTTTTAAGATATGAGAAAATTATGAAAACTTACCCCAACAAAATCCTTTAATATATCATAATGGAAAGCGGGAGTTAATAATTTTCTTCTAGGCCTCCATTTCTTGGGGTCACTAAAGTGATTCAGTTCATATAAATAATAAATAACTTATTTATATATAAATATATAAATAAGTTGCTAAAATTCGAAGTTATCGAAGTTATTGAATTTTAACATATAGTAGAGAATGATTCAAAAATACGTAGATATGCAAATATGTAAAAAAAAAACCTGATGAGTAAACCTTCTCCAATCCAATCACTCAAAAAACCATATTGAAATGGTTTTTTAAGAGTTCTATTACTGCTGAGAATAGCCTCACACTCTTCAGCTCCATAAAGCAATACCCACGGCCAACCAGAGAACCATATCCGAGTCATTCTTTCGCCATTCTTTTGTAGCATGTACGCTATTCCTTGAGCTTGCTCGAAGAAATCTATACGATTTTAAGAAAAGAAAGAAAACAATGTCTTGCAAATATTCCCGGCAACATCATAAATATTTATTCGAATAGTTAGAAACAAAATTTTTGGGTACGACGCACAAAAGCCTTTCTTTTATCATCAATGAACATTTGAATATTTTAAAAATATCGACCTCTTGTCTACCCAAACTCATCAATGTCTTTGATACTTGAACGTTAGAATGATAAGTTATCATTAATTTTTTCAAAATTCTCCATTTTTGACGTGCCATTATTATTATGGATCATAATGGAGCTTTCTAATTAATGAGATGCGCAGGCTTGATCGAAATTATTCTCTAACTTTTTATGCGCTGCTAATATTTCCCTTTTTCAAGGAACATTAATTCCTTCTTAAATGATTTATCGAAATGGATAAATAATTGATGCAGATGATTTGTGGAAATTGCAGAATATACAGTAAAATTTTAAGAAGCTATGGAAAAAAAGGTAAAAATAAAACGAATTCGCTATTTAACACAAGATTTTAATCCAGTTAATGTGATCCTACCATCAGGTTTGAAGTGTATTTGGTGTATATTTCCTATGACTGGCAGTGGTGATGGACCTTGAATTATATTGATTTTATTAAATATCGATGAAACTTTACGGAGCAACATCCATGTCATCCAAGCAGCCATTGAGATTACGATAACAATGCCGAGAACACTCATAGTTTGAATTATTTATAAGGATTCTGAAAAACGATGGACAAAATACAATAGAATTATGATGCATTCCTGAATAGCATGTCGAAGTTCAACTAGGAAATCATATACGAATAGAAAAGTAGAAGAAAGATTTTAAAGACGAAACCACTGATAAAATCACAACCAAACCACTAATCACTATTGACTGCCAATTCCGATAATTTATATTTTTCATCATACTTTACCTTCTTTAAATAACATTTATTTGATTTGGTTGGCTCAACTCACTATCTAGATAAGATTCATTCTTCAAAAATCATTTGAGAATGAACTACAGGTGGATTCCAAGCGCACTTCCCGAATTTCACTTATAACAGCAGAAAAGGAACTCACTAGTTGAACTTATAATGATTGCCCCCTCGCTTGAAGTAACAGTCTATTCGACCATCCTGTCTTTATGTTTTTCATCAATGACTGAATTACAACTGATTTAACTGAATCAGGTGTTACTATTTCAAAATTTGTAGACAAATTTTCTAGAAAGATTTCTATCAAAAAAATTCAGAGAAAACTCTATGTTAAATTGCATGAGTCCATCTGCATAGCGCACATTATTTAAGACAATTAAACAGGTCAAAGATGGCTATCAAAATTTTGAAGATCATTATCAAAACGTTTTATATAGACGGGCGAATGAGCGCTAGAATTATGATGGTACTAGAAGATTTTAGCAGACTTACAAAACTTTGAAGAGGTTTTTTTTTATTCGTCAATTTTTTAGCCAAAAAATCATATTTAATAAATTTCCCAAGAAATAAACCCTCTTTCCTTTTAAAATCATCAAAAATGCACATGAGAAAACCTTTTGTCCTTTTTTCAAAAGCTGCATAAAAATCAGACGTAATTAATCATAATAGATTAAGATGACCATTTTTTAAATATTTTTAACTCATGGCTATATAAATAAATTCATTATATCTAAACAAGTCAAATTTTAAAAGAGCTTTGTATTGAGATTTAAGATTTTGAACTACAGGAATTTCATGAATATGTGCCTTAAAGCGGAAATTGATTTATTCATGAATCATTCATTAAAGTTACACCTATATTTGCATATAACATATGTTCCCCTCACAATATTTTCTTATTTATGAATTTCAAAATTTCATCGAAACAAAGTTGCGAAAATTTTTGCAGTTGAATGAATCGGAAATTCTGTTCACTGATCGTGGAATTCATTTGACAAAGGAAAGTATTAAAAAAACTTTTTCTCAACATTAAAGATGTATTCATCGAAAAAATTATTCTTATGTCTGAAAATCATTGATGTATAAAAATGAATAATTTCTTTATATCTATATTCTCTAAAAAACTGTTGAAAGCTTAACTAAAGTAATGAATAAATAATAATTTGTTACAAGGTTATGAAATTCATGAAATTTTACTCTATAGAAAAATTTTATTACTTTTATCAAAATTGCTTGAAAACATGTGAAGATATTGACCAATACTTGATCATTATGAAATATCATTTATCAACGATAAAGGTTTTTATCAGTAAGGACTGGATGATATATTTGTGTGGATGCGTTTGTGGATGGACGGTTTACGTTTATTTAAGGATCCATATGTGCATTCAAATAAAAGTACAGCTATATATGCATACCTGTAGTTTCCCTAATATAAAAAACAAAAATAAAAAACTGTTTCCAATAAAATTTTAATAATCGAGGAATAAAATTATGTATGAATTTGCAATAACTAAAATATCTAAAATGAGCGTTGAACAATTATTTTTTCGACATTTTTTTCGAACTTTTTCCCACTTTAAATGATAGAAAAAATAATCATTTATCTATATCTTCGGCCAACTAAAATGTTAATAATTTTAAAAAAATTGTCGCTTTTTGCAAGTTGGCATAATTACATTGAAAAGAAAATAGGTTATTAAAATATGGTATTTTTCCAGATCACTCAGAGATCCTCGAAAAACAAAACTATTCACTGACTCACAGATTTTCCAGACTGCTTTAGGGATCTGCGATTGAAACTATGGTCCGCGGATTTTTGCTTCATGGATCCATGAGATAGAAATTATTTTCAGAATAATACAAAAACGGCCTTTAAAGAGGCATCGAAAAATAATTTAGGAAAATAATTCCACTCATCTTATCAAATCTGTAGTCTTGAAATATATGCCTATAAAACTATTGCTATCGCTCACAAATAAAATTTTATTCACATAAAACGAGACTGTATCACTCAGTTTTGATTTCCAAGGCGGCAAACATCGTTAATATAATATAAAGCATCCTGAAGACGCAACGTTTAAGAATTGCTGGTTTAGCGCATTTTCTTAAGCTCTTTAAGCACTACAGAAAAATGACAACTATCCATTGTTCTTGTGGACATTCTTTAAAATTTACTGAAGTAAATTTTAAATTTAATTTGGTTCATCGAATATCAACTTATTATTCCTTTTTTTTCTGGCGATAATGTAGAATATATCGCCCAGAAGAGCAGAAATTTTTAGAATTTGCGCGTCATAATCCAGAGAACGAATAAAACAAAAGGAAAAAACGAAGAAAAATTGCATAAAAATTAGTATGCAAATCGAAAAAATTTTTTAGAAACTGATAACTGTCATGGTGATTATGTTATACTGTAAAATAATTTAATGTATTGCATCTACAACCATATTTTATCAGTGTTTATAGATATCACCCAATTTTTTTTATTGTTTTGGGATGAGTGAGAAGTGATAAATCAACTCCGATTTAATAAATTTCAAGAGAGGTCAAAGTTGAAAGAAAAAAAATAAAACCGCTTTGCGCCATTTGTAAATTATTTATTACTTTAAAAATATTTATTAAAAATAATTATCCATTACAGAAAATATTAAAGAAGATAATATTTTACAATAATTCATAGCATATAACTGAATAAAAATTACATTGAATTAAGACAATTTCGTTCATGCAAATTAAATGAAATTAGACGAAAATTAAATGAAATAAATTATTTATTTTTCATATTTTTTATAATTGATTAAATTTTGCTTTTAAATGCTTTGATTTTATATATATAAAAAATTCTCACATTCGAGATTTAAACATTGAATATTGTGTAAAATGCGTAGTATACTCAATGCGAAATGAAAAGAAATTAAGCAGCAATTTATAATCAACGACAGCTTTTTTACTTTTCTAAGAGTGTTCACCATTTTTAATTTAGGCTCGTTCCACTAGCTTATTGGACCGAAAAAATTTTGCTAGAGAGTCACTTAGCTATAGAAAGAGCGATGGATCACAAGCATTATCTGGAAATTTTTAAGCAGCTTTTAATTTTACTTCTGCCGAGGAGAACCTTAATGCATAAGCACTCCGAAACAACCCATTAAACCATTCTATCCCTTAGATATTTTATTTCTGAAAAAAAAACAAATTTTTCATATCTTGAATAAAAAATTCTTAATGTTTTAAAATTTTTCCACCAGTACCCTATTTTTCACAGTTTGGATTTGTTGCTTCATTTTCAAGAAATTGACATTTTCATTAGTGTAAATCGATCAAGTAAGGCGAATACATATTGTGTGCTTAATTTTATCATAAATATTTCCGCTATTTCATCTTCACACTTGTCAGAATGAACGAAGACCAACTAGTGTGACTGTTATTTTCAGAAGTCAATTTTTCTTCCCACATATTTGATCTGAATTTTTCTATATTTTTCAATAATCGTATAACATTGACATTTTCATTTTCGTAAAACACAATCGATGAAAAAAAAATTTTACGAAAACTTTTCTGATATTCATGGCTGTAAACAATAAAATAATTAGTATCAACTATCTCATTCAACTGGCTATTGGCAAGGAATCACTTAGGGCTAGAAGCAGGAGAGTCATCAACATGATTCCGAATTTTCAATAGCAAACTTACTCCTGTTCGAGGCAAATACCATATCACTAATTGTCAATGCTATTTTCAGCTAATCAGCTATCTGTACTTTTCAAAATCGGCCATGTATCGGTTTCTTAAAGATTTACCAACAATTCATCGTTGACCAGATTTTTAAATGCAATTCTCCTAATATATGCACGATAAAGTAGAGTGAGATTTTATAGTACATTTGCTTTGCAACACATTAATGCATTCGAATTCTTCAGAGAATTATGAAATAGCAAGGAATAGGGTAAATTTTTTATTTTATGCTTCCTCAATGTCATATATTTTGAGACTTTGGAAGCATTTGGCTTTAAGAAAAATGATTTTTAGATACAATTTAAATCCATAAAAAAGTGTTAGAGAATCATTTTAACTTGAAGAGCGCTTAAATAAGCTGGTTAAAAAACTCGCTCCGCTGGTCTGTCGCACTAGACAAATATGCCAGGGAGTCCCTTGATGATAGAAATGGAGATGAGTCGCCAAAATCACCCGAATTTACTCCTGCAGAGAAGAAAATCTCAGTATTGGCTCTCCGAAGTGAGCAACAACCCAACCAGCCATCCTATCCACATGATTTTTAAATAAGATTGAATAAGCTCCCTTATTATGTTTCATGAGATTTTTATGAAAATCGTTTGAAATATGAAATGTTGATTTTTTTTCATTTTCTACAGCTTTTCACAGTTTAATTGGCTTAATAAGTTTTCTTGACATGAAAAATTGATTCTTACCAATTTGTTTCAAACATATTAATGAAAGATATATGGAAATAAATAAGTTATCGAATAGAATTTGACAAGTTTATGCAGTGAAGGCTATTCATTTACTAAGCTTATCCCACACAAGACGAGCTAGTTTATCATAGGAATTTCAGGATATTGAAATTCTACCCAACAACAATATTCCTTTTTAATTGGAATTGTTAAAAACCATAACGCAAAAACGATTAATTATTCATGAATTTAGTCATACAAATGAATTTATGAAAACAATTTCTCGCAACTCACGTGATGTCGTAACTTAGTTCTATCATTTTTTTCCAATTGTTGGTGGTCACTTATATTTTTATGGTCAAAA